TGTCTACCACAGTTCACCACCGAACTCAAAAGACAATATCGCCATAGCAAAATTAAGTTATTTTGGGCTTCGAGAATTAAAACTTACATTTGAAATCCAAAAGTTCGGTGATGTCGTGAAATAACAATCTGATAATGGAAAATGTCAGTACGAAACATCTAAAAGTCTTTAAAAATTTAAAGCATTCAAAATTTTGCTTTTCATATTGCTTTTTCAGTGTGTCTGAGGCCTCAAAAGTGTCTAAATATTTGCTATTTTTCGAGGAATACATTAGTTTTCTGACTATATATTTCAGCACTCATTATCGAAAAAGAATCAGTTTGAAGAAAAAAGAACAACTGCATGTAAGATAACCTATGATTTTAAAAACGTGTTTGAGGCAGACACACAAGCGAAATGAATTCATCGCCGTTCTATAAATCATCGACTCTTCGGTCTAGGGAATTAATGTATTTAATTTCAAGGAAAAAGAATATACGTTGTTCATGTTCGCTCTCCGTTAGATTCCTTTCAGATTACAGGCAAAATACAAGGGACTTTCTTTATGTACTCTATGCGTTGCAATTTTTTAACTTTTTAAATCATTATGGATGTTATGTACATGGTGATACGGTACAATTACATCGCTAACGAGTGCCATGAAGATTGAGATGCTTTTGACCACGTTGTACGCCGAACGGAATGAGTAGTACCCAGTTTTTGCCCAAATTTGTCCCACGAATATATATATATAAAGAATTCGAGTTCATTCAAAAACTTCTTACTCTCTTGTCTGTGCTCTATACGAAAAACATTGTAATCGACGCAATAATAAGTTTCTCAGTGATGATAACATCATCCAAAAACCTCCCTACTCTTGCATGCCATTACATGTAATTATTTAGTCAACCTTGTCCCCTAGTACTGAATAATATGTGAACCATCCAATTCAACATCGAAGCCAGTATAGCTATCAGATACTTTCTCAACATGCCTCGGAATATCTCTATCGTACCCTGCGACAAAAAGTCATCATAAAATATATACTTGTAAAAAAAAAAGAAGAAATCAAATTTTTATATATTGTTTGACTCTATTTTAGGATATAATATTTCTAACGATCATATATCATTATCAAATATCAAGTATACTATTGAACAACATCATGATATATTAAACATTCTTGATATAATTAAAAATAATAATGATTCTAAATTTCAAACCTATATTATATGGTTATCGGGTGCAATTGCATGTGTAGAAAAAGAAAATTTAATTATACTTTCAGTTCGGAATCACAATGGTAATATAATATCAACATCATGTATTCAAATATTTGATATTGATTTAAGTGAACTTTATGCATCAAAAAGAATTCAAATATTTTTAAAATGGTTAGAATGGCTTCATATTATTCCTAGTTTTTGGCGTTTTCAACTTGGTGTTATATGGATTCCACCATTTTATCAATTTTCTGGTACATATTATCATGTAAATGTAAATGAAAATGAATCAAATGAAATAATTGATAGTATTCAAAAATATGTATTTCAAATACGTTCTAAGGTAGCAGTTATTATAGAGATTAATGAAGCAGGTCATAAAAATAAAAATATAATTATCAATAACAATCGTCAATATATATTACCATGGTTTAAAATAACCAAAGGCATATTTCCATCTAATATTGATTCATTAGATACATATATCAATTTGCTATGTAGAAGTGCGAGAAAAAGAAATCTTCGAAAATATAAAAAACAATTTGAAGCTGGTGGTGGTAAAATACGTTATCTATTTTCATCCGAAGTAGATTTTGATGAAATTCAAATGCGTATGAAAGAATTAACATTATTAAAATTAGAAACAGACACAAGACATCAATTAAACAAACATATTTGTAAGCATGAATTTGGTCATGAGTGGATGTCCTCAATGGTATTAACAAATAAATCGTTAAATAATAATAATATTATATTTATATTTGCTGAACAACATTCAAGTGAAAGTTTACTTGGTTTTCTATTACTGTTTATACATTCGCCTACAAATCAAGTTATAGTTAAAGCAATCGGTATTCATGATAATAGTCATACAAGACAATTAAGAACTTATCAAAACTTATGTTTATCAGCAATAGATTGGTCATTACTCAATGGTTATAATGTAATAGATTTCGGCGCAGGGCATGAAGAAACAAAAGCTCTTCTAATTGAAAAACAAATTCGTATATGTGATGATGAACAAACACGTGCTACGATTAAAGCCATATTAAGATCACAGAATCTATTTCATATATTTATAATAAACCAAATAAAAAATGGTATAAACCCAAAGAAAAAATGAACCTGTCCATAAGAATTTTCAATACATATATGTATATATAAACATTCAAGTTAAAAGACATGAAAAATAACCAAAACTAATTCTACTTCTCTTAATAAATTAAACTTTTTTCTGGTTAGTATTGATTTACGTCATATAATAAAAAGACTTAGAAAAATGAGTGCTGCGTGTTATCGATAAGCATTTTGATATTATTACATCAAACCTGAAGGTTATGAATTAGAAAAATATCAATCTAGCTATTGTCTGCTTGACAACATTTGATTGTATAAGTGATAAGATATTTTATGTAAACGCTTATTGCTTAATGGAACGCTTTTGTACAAAATAAATTTTGTAGAACTTCTTTTTAACACATCAATACGTCGATAACATGTAGAAATAATCTATAAAAAAAATTGTCAATCACAGTGCCATTAGTAAAGTGCACAGCACAATATTAAGAAAACCTCTCCGCATTTTCCGTTATAGTAAATGATAAAATGAAGCATCTTAATGGCTGCATGTGTAATTTGCATACAAATATCAAAATTTGAGAAGGATATTTTTCAATTGGCTTCTATGAAGTTTTTCAATCAATTGCTATGTCATTTAAATGTATACCATGACAGAGTTACTTTAATTACGATGGAGAACATTCGTCATATTCATCACAGTCTGTGATATACATGTTTTCATGTATTTGGAGCAGACCAGAAAGACCATTCACAAGCATATTCCACAAAGCACTACGGTTCACTATAAAATCTAATTTCGACTCTATTCAAAGTAGAACTAATGTTTTTGTAAACGATCACTCAATGGTAGGGTTAAACTGAGAGATTCTGAATTCCTAGTATACATCCTCATTTCTATATGTTCACAACTTTCATGAAGTCGACACTCGTATTACTATCATTTTGACCATTATTGATCTAATTTATAGCTCTCTCAACTATTCGAATAATTATTGAGGTAAGGGATTTCTTGTAAACAACCACCATCGAACACCATTCTTTCATCATTGAAATTTATTGAAAAACTTCAGTTCTTACGTGAATCTTTTGATGTGTCATGCAGTGTTAATAAAATCAATGTATTTCCTCATTGTGGAATTGTGTACGGTGATTCATTTTACTAGAAATGCAAAGATGAATTCTTCCAAATGTATTCAATTCGAGATACACAGAGTTCATGTGTCAGCTGTGAGTTGAGATTTTTCTCGTCACGGATACAACCTTGAGTTTTCATTTCATTCTTATTTAGCAATAGAAAGAAACAGTATTGAATTGACGTTTATCTCACATCGATACCTTTACTTTTTAGGAGTGGAAACGAACATTTATGAAGTATTATAAGAATGAGAACGAGCATGATTTCGACATCATCTGCAGTCAATATTTTTCATCGATGACTGATCGAGTCGTTTTACTTCATCTGTCCCTTGTTACAATGACCCCAAATGTATCTGATGTATTTATTTCATTTACTTTCCATCTAAATCGATTCATTCGTTTGGAATCACTTGTACTGATGCTCGCTATTCGTCAGACACACTATGCAACATGATATCGATTAGGCACCTATTTAAACTAACTGATTGTTTTCTGGACGAGAGCCTCGCGTATAACGTTTACTTTGTTGAATTGACAGTGTAATCAACAGCGATCAAGCCTTTGATCTGGAAGAATGTTGATTTATCTTTAACAGATTTGATTCAATTTTTCAAATATACACCTCATCTAAAACATCTTTGTAAGATTGTAACATTTGAACGTAATTTTCAATCTACTTCAGAACACACTGGCTTTATCTAATTTGATAATTGAAATGTAACGTAGCTATTTAAATGGACACGAATGACAACAAGTCATCAATATTTATCTATCAAAGGTTCAAATATTTCAACTCTACATGGAATTCGATTTTGTCAATAAACTTGCCAATACATTGCGAACTCTATACATTATCGTATATATTTAGTCTAGTGTACATTTGAAGATCAATAAGTGATGGAAAGAGATATGTCCGGATGAGTCAATTTATCTGTCATATGATAATGTGTGTACTATGTCTTTGTGTCTTATATGACATTGTAGGAAAACATCATATAAAGATATTTTTTATCACCAATCAAATGGTATAGATTCTTCTTCTATTATAATATTCGTAATCAAGAAATAGGTTTAGACTATGGATATAAGGCAGCTGAATGTTTGTTTTACATGTTATAACCATACTAAGTGCTATAAAAATGTTGTATCAAGCATTACTGATGACTTTCTCTGGGCTTTGTAGATATGGAAGTAATGTTACATAGTCATGTCTATCGTTGGTCATAATGATAATCGTTGATTAAACTGTTTACAGTCGCTGTATTGCTACGCTAGTCGTTAAGGGCGATTTTTCTGTAGCTTTTTTCTACGATGGTCATATTACACCGTCAGGTACCGCTTACGATTGCTGTAAACGATAATGTATGATGAAGCATGGTTGAGCTGGGACAAATTTCAAAAACAAAAAAATATAATGTATGATATTAGCAATGGTTATCAATTGAAATATGCATCAGACACAAATAGTTATACAAAGATAGTCAAATATAATAAACATAAAATAAATTATATTGTAAAAAGAAGCTCGGTTAAAGGCTGAATATATAAATGCATTCAATGACTGCTCTTGTTTTATTATTCTTATCCCCTCTTGCCTGCTTGCAAAGTATGATCTCTAGCAGCTAAACTTAACAGATAAACACCATCAGGTATCGCGTTTGAATAGACTTCCATATCGTATTGATTAACCCAAAAAAATGATTGGACTCTCATTTGAAATTTAGCCAAGAGAATTCGATCGTGTTGTTTGTCAAAAAAATTTGTAGTCAGTGATATGGGATCAGTTTCCATTGACAACGAACGATCATTCCATTTTATTGTCCAATTATGTCCAAATAATTGAAAATTTTGAGTAATAACACCTTTTAACCATTGTTGAGTATGATCATCAAATATTTCGATATTTCCTTTGTATACTAATAGTCTTAAATTAGCTTGAAGTTTACCAATAACCTTCTTTGTTGGATAAGTAACTAATTCAAGCGATTGAAGAATATGATATTTCGATTCAATTCTATATTGCAGATTTTTGCCAGTTTGATCGTATATGGAATATTCTCGTGCTTTGAATCCACGGAAAAAATCAGTCACAATGAAATATTGGCGTTTGGGAGTTTGAGAAATGGCAACATGCATAAGAAACAACAATAAAATTCGAAACATCTTCAAATAACGGATGACGACAATAACAGTAGAAAGATACTGTAACAAACTGTATTATTGATTAGCAAATGTTTGTATAGAAGAGTGGTATTATATATTTTTCGAGTTGTTCTCTCCGGTATTCATTAGTAATCACATCAACGTATACTCTAGGATGATTATTCATCATGCTTGCGAAGAGTAAACTAATTATCCATAAGTGTTTGCTTACAAACACAAAAAAATAAAGAATAGTATTGGGGATATTGATAAGTTTCCATTAAATAATAGATATTCTTGTTATTAAATTGGCAATGGTTCGATGAGAAATAAGATCGCATTTCAATTTCATCGAACATCATCAGTAATTATGTGCAGTAAATCATTGAAACGGCGTACATAGCTGAACTGGACGACGTCGATGAACAAATGCTTCGTCTCTTATCATATTCACTTATGCCTTCAAAAAAAAGAGAGAGAGAGAGACAGATATCATACATCCATGTCTTCGACAAGACCTATCTTTTCAATCAATAACCAATGTGATGAGTCGAACAAGAAATGATGAAGACGGTGATTAATGAGCGAGACGATTGGTAAGCATTGATGATGTTCTCTTCTTTCGGATCAAATTCGTTCGATGTAGTTGGCTATAAAGCTTATCGATAAGATATTGTGCCAGTAACCTAATTAAGACTTCAATGTTAGCTACCATAAAATAACTAAATATTCACTAAGTCAAACCCAAAACTTCAAAAAATGCATGTACCTACAGGAAATTTCTAGAATCATGCATTAACTTGCAAAATATTTTTCCATTTGGTGCATCTTGTGCCATAACATGCAAGTTCTCTGCAAGATTGACTATTGCTGCGCATAAATGCGAAACAGTGACCTACGAATGCATGCAGTTACAATTTTTCAACAGTTTAGACAAAGTATGGCAGATCACGTGTGCTTTTTATTTCTACGTATTCATGCAAGATGTATGATTCAGATTTAGAATTAGCACTGCATCAGTCCAGTCCTGTTGAACTATTTAAATCGACCGATTTTGAGCGCTTTTTTAATAGTTTTTGGCGTACTGAAGCTAGTTTCTTTCTTCAATAAGAACATACATATGTTGTTTTTATTTTCAAAGGTGTATTTAAATACAAAGTATGAAATTTCGTAGTTTCTTTGATCCGAATATATTTCATTCCAATTGATTTTACATCAAGCATTTAAACATTTTTCATACAATTTTTGACATTGTTATTACTTTTGAAATATTACGACATTGTTGTTGTCAGTTTAAGATATCGTTTCTCATGCCATAACAATCAGGTAAGTGTTGACGATTAACCACAATCATCGAAAAAAAAACTAACGATGAATTGACAATTTTGCAACAAACTTCAACAGGAAATATTTATCTATTAGCGAGTTGCCGTACGAATGGTACTCCCGTATTTCTTCTTTAACTTTTAACCCTTAACTCTTGATCGTTAACCTTTGATTATTGACCTAAGAATCAATGACTCAAGTACTGAAATTTGACTAGAGAACCGACGAACACTCGAAATTACTACTAGACATCTTTGCTCAAATGGAATCTGTTCTTTCTTTCAGCAAATCAGATTTCGGGAGATATTCACTGTCTTATAGTCCAGTTGAAAAATAGGGTTGTCTTGGTCAATCAAGGATTCACAAATGTTAATTTCCTTTTTATTCTTAACTTTTAATTTCTGAGCTTTCAACTTTGAATCGAATACGTATGGTTCGACGTTGTCTGATGACCTTTGAGATTTGAGATTTGATTTTTGACCTTCGATCAACACTTAGACGAACACTGAGCATTATATATGTATAATCTTATGTTTTATGTAAATCGATTTTAAGGTGAAAATTAACAGCGAGTATCTATCGATAAAAATCTTTTTTTTTCTCTTTTGTTTAGATTGATCAGAGTAACACAATGAACAGTAGGTATTTATTTAGCAAAAGAAATTCTTTCGTGTTATTTTAATCGATTTCAAGACGAAATTGAACAATAAGTATAGCTTTCACATTTCAACCCTAAAAGAGCTGCACTAAAAAGCTTTTCTTTTACTATTAATCATATAAAATGAGTATTAGCATAAATTGCTAATACTCCTATCATTACTACAATATAAAATATCTGAACATTAAAAGAGTTTTTATTTTGGTTTCACAGGTTGACCTAAGTGTATTTTTCGTAGATGAGGTTCGTTCATCTTTGTTGAACTAAGTAGAAAATCGACAGTAGCAGCAGTTGTAGCACAGACAATACCATAAACTTGCGTTAAACGAAGCAGTGCTTGCACATCGGAATTATGAGGATGAGAATCCAAAGGATCAATAAAAAAAATAAGAATATCAAGTTCTCGTGAAGTAATTTTTGCACCCAATTGTTGATCACCACCTAAAGGACCACTTTCAAATTTAGTTACTGGTACTTGAAGTTCTTTTTCTACTAATGATCCAGTCGTACCAGTACCATACAATTTATGTTTAGCAAGTGTATCACGATGTTGTCGAAGACATTCAATCAATTCTGTCTTCTTATTATTGTGAGCAACAAGAGCAATTCGTTTAATTTCACCCATTACAACAAGATTGGATACGTCCTAACAAAAGTTCAAAAGAGAAACGATTTTATTTTTTGTTTTAATTTCTATCCCTTACGGGATAGTCAAACAATAGTTACGTTTTGAGTACATAAACCATTTTCAAATTCATGAATGATTTTAGCAAGATATTCATCATTTTTTTCCCTTATAAGCATACTAGTGAAGTATTGATTACCGGTATTTGTAAGACCTACTTCACGAAATACACGAAAGAAAAATCATGTGTTAATGTAAAGAAGAAAAAAATAAATGAAACTTTACCATTGTCAGCATAGAACTTTTGTAGTGCGTTCTGAAAAAAGAAATAAGAATCGATTGATATGAAGATAACAATAAGTTCAATAATGAGAAATTTTCTTAGATGCATTTGAATTTACTTTATTTCTCTGGCTTTTTTTAGCTTGTAAGTTGTTAAGTGAACTATTTTTCTTTTCTATAAAAATGATAACATAACTTACCTTTACGTTCCATTGATATTGATCAAGAAAACGAATTGAATCTTCGAAATTAAAACAAGTTACAACCTAAAATTAGCAAATGTGAATATCAAAACTTATGGCAATACCAGACTTACTTGAAAATAATCAAGAATTTGTCCTCGTGATTGAAATCCTGATTCATTTGATTCCATTTTATTGATAAAGTTCTTAATCTATAATGGAAAAACGGGATTGTTAATAATTTTATTATTCATATAGTATTCAGTCATCGAATAGAGCAGAAACAAAACTAATTTTTTCGATCGATCTTATTGTTTGACAATGATTTGATATTTATATAGCATCAGCTGTTATATAATGACTGAGATGAAAATCTTAGTAAAAATATTTGAATTTTCAAAAACAGATTTATTTGATTTTAACTATTCAAAGTTGATCCTTATATCATATTTACATACTTTGAATTACGATTGAATGATGTTGATATCAAATGTATGATATCGAATGAAAATATTGTATTCTTTTTACAACATTCACTTTTATAGCCGGAAAAAAACATGAAAGAAAGAGTTGGCGAGAATATTACTTGAGTAATTTCGGTATGACACAATCTAGTGATGCATGACACATGAAACATTCACTGAATATATGGTATACGATGATGATTTGACAAAGTCACTGTTATTTTTATGTCATTAGTGAAAAACAAGAAAAGTTATATTGCTTTTCATTTGTGCAATCATAGATGATGACTCATAAGAACATGATCGATAAACAAAATACATGATACGATTTCTAGCAATATTTTTATTCTTTCGTTCTGTACAGGTATTTTTCGTGTTAGTCAATATATTAGAGAGAAAGGTTCGTTGAGATGAGTAGGTAATATAAATTGGACTATATAGAAATTAAATGATCGCAGTGAATAATAATGACGATTAATGTACTTGAAATCATTTTATCCATGAATAACAATTTTTTCAAGTTGTTTTCGCATAAAATTTAGTCAGTATTTGAAATAAGAAAATATTGAAAAATGACAAATTGACCATTAGAAAAAAGCAATAAATTAATCTCTAGAGGGCATATTTGACATGGAGAAGTAAAGAAACTAATGCGTTTAGATGTGTTTTTAACATTCTATTACTTGATAGCATTAATTCAGTACCGAGAAAATATTTAATTATTAATAAAAACAAATGATGAAACATTAATTTTTCAAAGAGCATAGTGGATAACAATGTACAATAGGGTCGGAAAAAAAAGCACGATTCAATTTCGGTTCTCACTCAAATATTGAAGCAACCAAATGTGAACTAGAGTAAGCTCAGTCTCCTTAAAGCTGAAAGTTCTATTGTTGCTAATGGTTGAGCTACGTTTAAAAGAGTATGTGTGTCCTCATCAAAACAATTATGGAAGATTTTTTTTGTCCAAACGAATTGACAAATGATAGCGAGACGTATTTTTTGTTCATTTAATTGTTTCTTTAAAATGATTTTAATATGTTCGATGAAATTGCTTTATAGGTAGCAAACGTATCTTGTCAATAACTAGAGAATTGTCTCATCATCAAGACGAGAAAAGAGTATTGTCTATTTATGACAAACACGCTACTGAAATCAAGTGAGTAAGAGTAAAACAAATACACTCTGAAGTTTTTATTGAATAACTTAATGTAGAATGATTTTAAAACCTTCATTAGATAATGACTAAGTATAAATTATTAGATGAACCTCAACAATCATTTGCCACTGATGAGACTAGGTTTAGAAGTAAGGAAAAAAAGTAGATTACATGTAGAGTAAAGGTAGAATCGTTTAATTTTTCATTTTTCTTCTTCAAAGATTGAGTTATTATTGATTTGAGTCATCATTTCGGTTTTCAATTCAATAGAGAAACCAGGAAAAAATTTTTACAATGTTGATTATCAATACGTAGTAGACTTGCGACAACTCTCAAGTCTGTGAACCTAGTTTTCGTTTTCAAGAACTCTATCCTTTTTTAAATCTGAGACCATTGAAGCTCATAAATACGTGTGAACTACCAGGTCGTAGACGCTCAGATCAACATCCACATATAATCCTGTTTTGTAATCCTAACATGGTACATGTATTCAGCTCGTTTATCATTTTAATCAGATGATCATGGTTATTACTAACTGTGAGTCCATGTACAATATTCATCGACTATTGAACAAAATCTTCATTCAACATTCGATTACCAGTTTCTAGATGCCATATTATTTGATCATATTTAGTTTTATTTTAATATTTGTACCTCGTCAGTTGCCTTTTTCGTTCATCTCATCAAAAGCTGTATTTTCGAACATAGAATATATGAGGAACTCAATCGAAATAGATGCTTTCCAGTATTATTTCGCTGTATAATGATATTAACATATCATATGATTCGTTTTTCATGCGTCTATTATGACATCACTCTCACAGTTGTTCGTATTACATTATATCTTTTCGAGGTTTTTTTTAATATTTATTGGAGGACTAAAATGATACTGAATAGCAGTGGTAATTAAGCTAGCCACTCTCGATAAAGTCTAGAGCAGATTAAGTTTAAAATGCATGAAAATAAATTGTAGTGGTGAATGTATTAATCCTACAAGAAATTATTTAATTATACATGCATACTTAACGTATGATACTATGTCCATGTTTTCATACTCTTATGAATAATTCGGAATGCAAATTAAAGCAGCCTTCAGTAGAGTATATTAATTGTTTTTTTTTCATATATTAGTTGCCATATAGTTTTCAGAAATATTCCGTTGTCGTTGGTTTTGAATGTTTCTCCTCGTTTTCCTTACTTCAGGGCTTTGTCTATTCTGTTTTGGCCAGTCAGTAGACAATGCTACAAGGACAACAGATGTAAAGATCATCTATCTTGACCGCGCTAGAAGTCTCTCCAATGGTTTCAATCGTGGACCACAGTTCTATTTCAAATATCAAACCGACAGAGTGTTTATGTTAAAATCTGCTAGCACGACATTTATCAAGATTCCTGGCTTGTCGTTCGTTTTCAACCACGTTCGACCTCGTTTATATAAAATTTATTTTCAAGGTATGGTCTACACGACTGCTCTGGACACACGAACATGGGTGCGGATGATGATTGATGATCAAGTTCTTATCGGAAACAAGCTCTATACCAATAATGATCAACGCTTTACCATAGATCCAACACTTGGTCGTGATGCGATGGCAATAGATTGGCGAGCTGGTATATATGTATATAGCTTGTCGTCTGTTATGGTGGTACCCTGTGTGAAGAGAGAGGTTGTGTATGTGCCAGCAGGTACACACTCCATTGACATCGGAATTCGGACAGAACAAGAATCAGGAGTCCATGGTGCTGAACTTTCAATAGAAATGATGGAACTTGATGAAGAGTCACAAACAAATCTACCCCTCCTCACCTCGTTCAATAGATAACGACGAGATATTGATGGAACTCTATTAAAAGTAGCTTTTACATTTTTATGTTTTACAAAGATTTGTAACAGATTAACTCCATTCGAAATAAATTAGAAAAATGGAACTTCTGAATATGTACACATTAATATATGTAACAATCATATCACGTAAAGTATTTTGAACACAATCTCTATTCAACATTCAATTACCGATTCTACATGCCATTGCACAGTCAAATCGAGGAAGACTTGGAATATGTTCAGTTAATACTGATTCAAGTCTGAAACTATCTTTAAGTGTTGAATCAGGTATATCGTCGAGAGTGGATGCCACACTTTAGTTAAATTTATCATATATTTGAGAATAATTAGATTTAATATAATCAACAAATCATTCATTTTGATGTTGTAATATTGTAATTATAGAAATAACCAAGATACTTTTTCATCATATTTAGTCTTATTTAGATATTTAATATAAAATGAGAATAATAAAGTGATTGAAAAATTAATGAGTGCTTTCCTATTTTTTGTTCACGCATCAGTTTCTTTTCACAAGATCGATTTATTTCCATGACAATGATCGATTTCTGTTGGATGAGACTGTGACTGTGTGAGTGTAAGTGGTTTTATAGAAGATACATGACTAATAAACCAACTACCGTTAATAAAAAGTGTCTATCTATAAAGGAATTTGTATCTAGATGATGGTTTTTTTAATAGATTGATAATCACTATGAAATTTTTATTGATTCATTAACAATTATCAATGTGTGCTCCATACAAACATTTCCTTTTTGAGAATTAAAATAAAAGATAAGACTTTTCTGACTTGTTTATCTCTAACCTGAGCATTTTCATGCATTTCTGAGAAACCACAAGATCGTCTTTGAAATATTTTCCACCAGATACATCACACTTTCTGATCTAAATACAAGTTCATTAATGAAATATCAGAAAAGCAAGACTATTTGATAAAACAAGTCAACATTGATATATAACAAAACAATATATACGTATTAGTACATAGCTAAAGTTTAAAAATTGATTAACAATTGAACTGACAATGTTCTTCCATTGAGATTCCACTCATTATCATCTTTAACTTACGAATATACTCTTTCGACAACTATTTGATATTGACATAATGAAACTAATCATTATATTAAGTAGATTCTCAAAGGTAATATCATTGCTATTGCTGATGATACTCTCTCATTGAAAACATGAATATCAATGACAGGAAAGTTGATAAGTGATGCATATATAATTACACCAACAGCAATGAAGGACATAGTAGAACCAATGGCTCGTTCTTTTTTCTGGAAAATATCAAATGCTATCATTTCAGTTAGAGAAATAATAAGATGATTATTGTATCTTACCCACATATCATATGCGGTCTGAAAGGCAACTCCACCGATGATGAGACTGGCTGTTGTACTATAAATATATGTAGAGATAAGTCCAAATCGTTTATGCTTTGTCAAACGACGCCAGCAATTTACAAAGATAATATTATAAATTTCGTACGGGTAAAGAATAACAAATGAAGTTTGCCACTATTGAAACAGTAGCGATACTGCATGAGATTGAAGCATTAGACACAATGAAAAGTTTTTCTAAAAGATTTTTTGATCTAAAACAACATATTAAACAATATACAGTAGAAGATGTTGCACATAAATTCGAAGCGAATGTCTTTGTCAAAACATAAGCCATGAATTTAACCTTGATAGACATATGTATTAAATTTTTTCTGAATCCAACTTCATGAAACAATGATACACTCATTCATTTACAGCAATGTTTTTCTTTTCATTCGAGTTTGTTTTAAGATGTTTACAATATTCGTCATAAACAAAAATAAGACTTTATCATTGTACTCCTCCTGACTAAACCGTAAGGCTATTGTGAATTTCATTCCAAGACGAATTAGTACACTTCATTTTTTATTAATATTCGCTATAAAATATGCTAAATTTTTTATTTACCTACTAGAAACAATGCAACTTGCTTATGAAAATTCGTATTTATGAGAAATTCCATATTAATTGTATATTAAAGGTAATACTTATGTATTTTATTAGTCGAAAAGTTTTGAAAATACTATCCATAGATCATTTTCAAAAATATTTCAAGCAACTTTTCGATAAAATCTGTTTCTTTACTGAATAGTATATTAAACCATGTAAGATAGATAATAATTTTCTTTATCGTAAAATCAATTTTATTCAATTTTGCAACACAAACTTTTCATATCTTATCTTATTTCATGTTCTTTATGTTTATTAATTTAAATGATTAGCAAAGGACATACAACATAATTAAAAAAAGCCTCAATTTATTCTAGTTTCAATAAATAATTTTCTTCAATTTTAACAACAATTTTTTTTGGCATTAAAAGTTTATTTTGTATCAATACGAACATCTTTAAATAATTTCTTTCTTTTTAGGTAATAAAGTAATATAACAATTTTAGTTATTATTTCGAATATCACATTGAAAATTTTATTCAAATTATCCATCAATATTCATAATACTAGACTTTTTCAAACAAAAGCGGGTCGACTGTGGGTGTGGGTCTCCAAGTGGTGTATAGCGGAATCTTGGAATTCAAAGTTTCTTATGTTTCTAGGATTCCCTCGAATTCTACTAAATTCCCTTAGATTTCAATCGACGAGACTATAAAGAGTAGTGATCCATGTCACAACAGCTTTTCATGTTGATATCTCGTTCTTCTTTTTTCTTCGTCCACAAACATCGACATATGTACACATCGAAGGCTAGCGAATTGTACTCGGTTGAATTTGAATTCTTAGACTTGCTTTATCTCTGCTCCAAGCGCAGCAACTGAGTCTATTTCTTCGTTAATCTATCAATAAACTCAGATCAAGTTATTCAAACAAAGCTTTAAATACATATTAGTATCAATGAGTTTCTTTATTAATGGCTAAATTTGACATGGTTTGATACTAATGATCTCGTTAGTAGCACGACAATGTCCAGAAATGTTCGAATCGTTATTTTTTATTCAATTTTACTTGATTTGATAACACATGGTAATCTCTCATTCGATGAGCGCTAAGATTTCTCGGTCAATAACCGTGAGACTGACCATTGCTATGAATATTTATTGAAATTATTAATTTTTAATTTGTAATATGAGTGTGGCTGTTATTATGCTTGTGTGTTTTTCAGTATGCACTGTAGCGGTGTTTATTTACAATTAACAAGCTTTTTATTCAAGAATTTAGATTCAAGTTTTTTTTCTTTTTACTGTTTCTATATACATGAAATTGTATCCAAGTTAGAGTGATATTGTCGTCAATTCTCTTTTTAATATTGAAAATTTTTAAAAGCTGGTTATATTTAAGAATTTTTTCTGTGATTTTGATAATTATGAACTACATTGTGTTGTGTTTTTTATTTATGAATCATAATCTAAAATACACACTAAAGGAGATAAATTTTTCTAGTCATGATTGAAAACCTGAGCGTCTGAATGAAGTATCTATGCATAATGTTTCTAGAAATGTTCTACTAGCTGCTTAACGTATGATAAAAAGTTGTTCTGCCATAGCAATAAATTTAAAGACTCAAATCCTCAAAATTATATAGGATTCCAAGCAGTCCCTAGAATTCCATCGAGTTCCAGGATTCTGCTATCCATCCATTGCGTTTTCCGATGTACTTTGGACAAATACTCATCGATGCCTCATAATTATTATTATATAATTTATTCAATTTATTAGAAATAATTACATCCTTTTTCTTAGTTCATGGTTGTCTATTAAATGTGTCATGTCGGCACTGAATCTAATTGGAATGCCTCTAACAACAAAATTTGTATTGAATAATTTCAGAATGGAAAAAAATGAACTTTTCTACTCTAATTAACAATGCTTAGGGTAAAAATTTGGAAGAAAAACTTGTTTATTTATACTGAACTGTTTTTCTGAGAAAACCATGTGCTTCATACTATGTAATTCATAGATTAAACGCAAAAACATTTTGTATCATCGAATTCTTGATTCATACCATATTCATTCGATTTTTGATCAAATTCTTCATCAACTACAATGATCCACTTTAGTACCTGTTTTTCGTCATACACACAAAATTCATCTCGCTGATCGTCCTCATGGTTATAGTAGACTGTATCGAAGTCGGGGTGCCACTGGTCTGTGTTTCTAACTGTATGCAATTCATTCTTTGTCACCTCCTTCACATTACCCATACGAACTTCAGCAGCAATAATAGCACCTTCAAATCGTGCTTTTCCAAGAGTATTCTTGATTGAGCGCGCGAAGTAGATACCAAAGCCAAGCATTTGTGGTGGAGTCGTCGAGCGACGAAAGTCGCTGTGACTGATGAGAAGAGCTGACTGAGCACTTGTACGGTGGAACCCGATGTAAGTGTCGGCTGATGCGTTAAACCGCTTCACTTCTGACCAGCGTGGTTGTGGTTGATAATCACTTAAATGAAATATCAAAATATGCTCAAGTTCACGATTTGTACATGGTTCATTGTCACACAATTTGTCACCGTGCCGGCCTGTACGCTTGCTACCTAGAAGTTCATAAGGTAAAAAACGTTGATGTTTATTTGATAGCGATGTGGTTGGTATTTTAATATTCGGCATAACAAAATTTGGTTTATAGTGCCACCACACACGATAATGATAGTAATCCAAAAGCGAAGTTAAGAAAAGAAAAAAGAAGGAAATAGCGACAATAACGGCTAGACTTTTTGTTGTTATATGATTTCGTAACGAGAGACAAATTGCTATAGTTGCAATACGAACACCAGAAACTACTATGACGAAGAGAAGTTGTAGTTGAAAACGTAGTTTTGGACGTGCACGATAGCACGGACAGTTACAGTTAAAGGAGATGAACCGATGTGTTGCTTTTGCTCTGAACAGTTGACAGAGCGCTGTACGAAAACTACTGCTAATCACAATACAACAGCAACTGCAAGCCATTAACGATAGACCAAATATAAAAAAGAACAAGACCACTGTTCGAATAGTACCGACCATAAACAGAACCATAATGATAGTCCAATTTTTAACACCGATTAATTCCCAGTTGTCATCATCAGGATGCTTGATTTTAAAGAATAATTCACGTTTGTAAATGAAGATGAGGAGAAAAAGTGCAAAACTTAGTCCGAATTCAAATAAGGCGATAACTGCGTGAAAATAAAAGAGTAAACGATAGAAGCGAGAGTGAAAGGACATATTTTTTTTTAGTTAAAAAAAATGGATCAATTTTTCTATTGCGTGAATGAATTACAATGAATGGTGACATACTTAGTTTTATTCTTTGAATACGTAAGTGTTTCTTATCAGTAAAGGGGAGACAGAATCAAGTTAGCAAATAAAAGTTTATTTTTATCACACTGAGAAACATAAAAAACATAAGTGTGCCTTCATTATCATAGCTATATTCTTTTTTAAAAAAGGATTAGAAATGATCTATGTAAAATTCGTGGTGTAAAACATTAATTATTATGTACTTTTCGCTCGATTACATTAAGTGAACAACTAGTTTTTATTGATTTTTGGAACTATTAACAAGTACTTATGCCACTGGACTTTTCATGAATACAGTAACTTAACTACTTTATAGTAATCGATATCGTGGCCATTTTTGTAATAACTCAAGAAAGGAAAGAGCTGGAGAGCTGCAGTTTTCATCAGTCGAAAGAGACGACACTAGATCATCTTTTTCTCCAGTATTGTGTAAGACGAAATCATTTTAAAATCAATCATTTCTGCAAAACATTCCAAAAAATCCATGAAAACAGTCTGCTGTTCCTATGAAAGTTTGGTTTTGATATGTGATTTGGACAGAAAGACCTCAGATCTATAATTTAAGATATAATTTGAATGATCACCTTCACGCAATATAACGTTAAGAAAATCAAATTCTTTTTTCAGCCCCTCGAAAAGTATGAATTTCTCTTAATTTTTAAGCAAATTTTCTTACTTTTTGTCAAAATTTCATATGAACGACAGATAATTTTTGTGCCTTTCTTCGATGTTTTGTAAAAACGTTTGATTTAAAATGATTTCGTCGTACACAATACTGGAGAAAAAGATGCCCTAGTGTCGTCTCTTTCTGCTAGTGAAAACTGCAACTCTCTAGCTCTTTTCTTTCTTGAGTTATTTCAAAAATGGCCACGACTATTATTTTTTTTTAACAGACAATAGGTAGCTTATATATTTACTGTTTTAATTAAAATTATAGTGACATCAACACTTTTTAATTACTTGGAAGTATATTTATAGTTACTTAAGAGGTTCACTTATTAGTGGGTACTTAAAGGGGATTATCTAAGTAGTGCTTTTGGGTGTGGTTGTTTTCTTTTCATATACAATCGCACCCTTTGTTCATATTACTAATCAACGAACCATAAAACATATTTTTCTCATTACTGTAATGCGTAAGAGACAATTTTACGTTACTACTTAGGGCTACGCAAAAGTAGTGGCGAATGTATTTTAATTCCTTATAAATAGCTGAGAGAAATTTTTCTCTATGTGAACTGATTGTAAAAATGGACACTCTCTCTTTCTGTGCTATTAAGTTATTTTTCAAGTAATATCATAAAACTAAACTTTTGATAAGACCTGTATTTCTATTATGCGTGACGGCTGTACTAATAACTTTTTAAAGAGTAAATTGGATAGTTTTCAAATAACTTCTGATAGAAAACGCATAAAGAGCTGCGATTTTCATCGTTCGGAAGAGGAGAAAAAGATGCATCAATTCGTATATTATGTTTTCCTAGTATGTGGTTAAGTTTTATTTAATTAGTTTTCCAGATGTGAGAATAAAAGATTTTTATCAAAAACAAAATAGCAAAAAATCTTTTTCACAGAAATGGCTGAAAAAAAATCATTTAAAGCTTCGAATAGAAAGTCTATGACTCTTGATTGATTAATTATCAATATCTGAAACTTGTGAGTTGTGTACATCTTCGATTGACAATTTGAATGTACACGCGGCAATTGAAAATTTACGGAAAACACCTTACTGGATAGGCTTGTTTTCAAAGAGATACATTGAAACCTTAAAAAAACGATCATGCTGAAAAATAACCTATGATTCTTCATTTTATCTTTCAAATAATGAAAGCTGCCGGTCTCTATTTTGTTTCTATCAAAATATATTCAAAAAATATTCACTCTGCCTCTGTTTAAATAGAAATTAATATAACCGTCCCAAAGAATGGAAAAAAATATTATTGAAATTTTATTATTATGATATTACTTGAGGAATGATATAATAGTATAGAACAATAGAGCATTATTTTTATGATCAGTTCACAGAGAGAAAAAATTTCTTTAAGCTTTATATCAGAAATTAGAATATCTGCACCATTACTTTTGGATAGTCCTTAGTGTTTTTGAAACCATTTCGTTTTATAAAATAGTCGAAAAGAATTGTAATTTTATTTGTGAAAATCACTATTATTCTAAACTGAAAATTCTATTGTAGGTCATCATAATTATTTAGTAATTTAAATGCATGGAAGTATTGTACAGATCTATGTCACCTCTATAACCCAACAATAGCCTAGAAAAGTTTTGAATACTGAAGTGTGAGGTGTGGGTGAACGACAGTTATACACTCGCCCCCATACCAGCACCCCAATGAATCGATTGTTCGAATATACATCTGTTCTTAAATGTCTTTCGATATCTGTGCAGCTCTTTGTTGATAATAGTCATATACCATGTCCCCTGCTATTCCTGATTGAATTGAGTATTAACTCATTTTTCTACGTGTCATGCTTCAAATATGGTAATTTTATTGCAAAACACACCCAATCGACGCATTTTAACTATCGACTTACTTATCGTCTGAATCTGTCGACGGTAATCAATGGAAAGAACTTATCCACGCATACTTACCTAAACTTCAAGGCTTTCGATTCAAAATGAAAGTTACATGTTCGTTGGAACACTATATACAAGAATGAATCGATAATTTAATTAATTCATTCATATTGAAGTTCACTCTGAATTGATAAATATCAATGGTTTGTTCGCTGTGTAGCACGAGTTATGAGGATTTATCTCTACACGTCACCAAATGAGTACGAAAAAAATTGACTTACCTTCATGATAATCAACAACATATTTACGATAGAGTAACTCCAACAATCTCTCCCATTTTTTGATCAACCAATTCCATCATAAATTCGTTTGCCTAATATTTATTATCTTTGTATAAAACTTCCTATCAATGAACAATTCTGATCTATTGTTCCAAATTTCAAACGAATGAAGTCACGTAAAATACTGTTTCATACGAATATTTTTCACGCTCAAGTGCAAACATTACTTAATCGAGCACCACATTTAAACAACCTGATTATTAAACAATATCAATCAACATTGCAAAAATCGTTATTCAAATCTACAACCACTTCTGTTCGCAAACTCGAGTTACAAAATATTAACTATCATTTCAATGAAACAGAATGTATTACATTGAGTGGTTTATTATTGAATGTTCAGTGTGAACAGCTATCTATCTTGGTTCATTATCGAAACAGTACTATTTCTCTTGTCGGAAGCTTTTTTTAACTTCGAGTATTGAATGCTTAATGTAAAGATGATAACTCTAGTGAACCATCAACATCATTAAAAGACAACAATGACTGTATAAAATGGTTAAAAATCCATTTATCTTCAGCAGGTATCATTGTTAGCGACACAAGATTTACATGTAATATTCTAATACGGATTTAACGAAAAGCTACAAAAATAACGCACATCAAGTAATCAGAAACAAACTCCATTTTGAGTAATTTTTTTTAGGGGGTGGGGGGGGGGGGGTGGTGTTGAATAAGAATAAATAAACCTATATCCACACCTTCATCGTCTCCTTTTCTTTTTTTAACAATAGAGTCAGTCTAGGTCAAGAAGAAATTTTTATGGATATCATCTGTCGGAAGAAAAATCTTACGTTGATAGCATTGTCACTATAAGTTTTTATGCATTGGCTAAAATTGGAAATCTCTCTTCTTGATCTGAAGTCCTATTTCTGATCCTGTTGAGTCTTTCAAGACTAAGCGATCACCATATCGTTGAAGCACAAATAGATTACCTGACCCAAGTAAGCATTGGTGAAACGATTTCTAGAAACTGTCAACAAACAAGGCTGCTTGCGTTTTCAAGATCTTGAGAAATAATAATCACTCTGAATGCTCATTTTATTTGAAATTTATTAAAAATAATCACCTGACCAAAAGACAGCACGACCGTCAGAGTAGGCAGTTTTAATCTTCTCATAAATATCGGTTGGTAATCGAATATTACGCATCATTATATCTTGATTGATACCAATTTGAACAGGACCAGCCCATTCAGTCAACTCATCAATCGTCATGTATTGTGGCAACGCAAACAAATGAATAGATTTTGTTGAACCATGACGCTGTCGAATCTCTGCTGCTGCTAAAGACAAAAGTTTCTGTTCTAGATTCATACTTGGTGCTCGCCATTCCAGTACACATACATCTTTTTCACTATCAAGATTGCCGATCACTACATAACCTTGTTCTTGTTCATGTTCATATAGGCAGACAATCGCTGCATTGTTTTGCCACCTTCCTTTCACCCACTGTTGGAACACTGTCAGTGGAGATCTATCCATTTGATAGATACGTGGATTATTCGAATAGATTTTCAGCAAGAGTTCAAAATCTTGACATGAAATATTCGATATTGAACACCATTTAGCATTTGTGCTAGGCGAAATGATAGTTTTCCAATCGATCATAACTTGAATGGGTTCAGGTATTTGTTCCCATCCGAAAGATACGAAATGATTGGGCTGTTTCGTACCTAACATTGAAATATCGAATTCATTGCTTTCTTCCATCTTATCAACAGCCATTTGTAATAGACGTCGGGATAGACCTTGTCTTCGATATTCGGCTACAGTAACGACATTGCTAATACAACCACATAAAGACTGCTCATTGTTCTCACTTGATCGTATTGTAAGACGTCGCATATGCACTGTGCTCACTAATTTATCATTGTGCCATGCACCTAATGTGTCACCTTCTTGATAACGTGGTGATGTATCAGGTAAAAAGTAACGTCCTTCCACATCAGGGGTAGTTTTGAAGGTAGGACACCATATATCCAATGCCAGTTGTTGTTCATGTTTTTCTATATGACGATAAACGATTGACGAAATATCAAATGTTGGCATTGAGTTCATTTTATTAATCGTACACTCTATCATTATCACAACTCACACCGATGGACAACGTCTAAAAATGAAAGATGAGATGGATAGAATGAGATGAGATATGTGTAGAAAGATGCTCGTATGCAACGCATAATACCATAATCATAAAGAATGTGTCTATGACATTGACACTCCACATTGAGATTTTCTCTACATAGTTATTTTTCTCCTTTCGTTCTGTAGAATGTGCGCTCTATCACTTTTACATATCGTATATGTGTATGTCTGTTCTTTGATATTTTTAGTTTAGTTTCTTTCATCTTCTGCTCGTTCTTTGTTTCCGTTCTCTCAAGGCAATTTTTTTCTTTTTCTTATGCTTTTTTTTTCTTATGCTTTCGAATGTAACACTCGGAAGTGCTCACATGATAATTTAAAGAGAAATCAAGGTATCTAAGTACTGAACAACAATATAAATACAGTGAGTTTTATCGAGTATTAACTCAACTGGTATAGGGATTAAAAAAGTGAGTGTACCCATGCAGTCAAAAATGTGAAATTGACGCATTAAAACAGTTCCTTTTTTTTCTTTTATTTAACGCATTTCGCACCGTCAAAAATGTCCGAAAAACAGCGTTTTAACAGAGCCCTTTTCCCTTGCTTTAAACTCGTTATAACAGATTTTATAAAAAGACATTTTAACGCGTTTTTATGGAAAACGCATTATAACGCGTAATTTCGGACATTTTTGACTACGTGAAATGCGTTTAGATGAAGAGAGTTTTAATGCATTTCCATGAAAGAAAAATAATTTAAAAAATGTATTACAACGCGTTTTCATGTCAGTAACGCGTAGTATTAGGTATTGAACCGCGTTTTTACTTGTTCTGTTTTCATTCAGTTTAACTCGTTTTTATGTCAATGGCACGTATTATATCCAGAAACGCGTTTTTGCTTGTTTTGTTTTGCCCTAGTGTAGATCTGATCGAAGGAACTTATAGTTATGAAACAGTCAACTTACCTCTAGATTAAAAACACTTACTTCTTAAATATTAAATTTTCTACTTATATTGAACGAAACGCATGTGTATATAGACACTTCTACAGCTGCTTATACTGATAGAAGTCGATGCCTAACTCAAGTTCGAATAAGAATGCGATTTGTAAATTCGAAATAGGCATTTTAAAAATTTTACAAAAACAAAAAAATTAAAAAAAATAAACTATTTAAATATTTATATATATATATAAACAATAATTTGTATATGTTTTTTATTATTATTTAGAAAAATTTAACTTATTTACTAACGTTTGAAAAGCATCTGCTTTCTTCTTCAATGCATTTTAACAATAAGTTATATAAGAGAACATAACGACAATTGTATTTTTCTTTTTCTTCCTTTATCACTCTTTATTATTGATACGGAAGAAAAAACAAGACAATAATACTAGGCGAGATGATTTAAAGTTTATCTTCTTCCGTATCAGTAATAAAGAATGATAAAAGAAAAAAAAGAAAAATACAATTCCCCTTTTGTTCTCTTATATAATTTATTGCTAAAATGCACTGAAAAAGAAAGCAGATGTTTCCAAAACGTTTCTAAATTAATTGTTTTCAAATAATCATTTTAAAAAAAGATATAAATTATTGTGGAAGAGTAACTCAAATTCAAATAATAATTGTAATGTCCTTCCAATGGAACATAAAATATTTATATTAAGTACCAATTATCGTAATTATAGAAATTTTATAAAATTTCTATGATTACAATAATTCAAAATCCAATTCAAACAGATGTATAGGGTCGTATAGGTGGATGTTACATAATACAAGCCCCACAACTAGACCAACACCCACAACAGATACTTTCTTGATAAATGATCATGTTTACCGATGCACTCTGTGGCATCACATTGTTCATCAATTAAGTTTACTCCTTAAAAAATTTTTTTTTCCCCAAAATGTGTATTTAGCTATGGGACGAATTTTGATTTTTCTTCTCTTGGTAAATCAATGTTTTTCTCTCAGCTCTTTAATCTACGTTCTAGTACATAAAAATATTGGGTTTTTTTTCTTTTAAAAAGATTTATAACATTTACGTTAGTAGGTGTTGAATGTGTTGTTAACGAAAAAAAAACAAGGTTTTAACGAGTTTCTGTCCATTGATTCTGATTCCTAAATACAAACGCATTAAAACGCATCAAATCATCACCTATTCCACAACAAATTTATTAAAACCTGTCCATATAAGAAGTAACCAGTTTTAACGAGTTTTGCTTTCTGATACATGATGTAAACCAGTTATACAGCGCTTTTTCTGCATGAACGCGTTGACACACCATTTTAAGCGTTTACTTGTCTGCATGGGTATACAGAAACCAGAAAATAGAACGAACAAGAAAAAAAAAAGAGGAGAGCAAAATGACAAGAGAAAGGTAAAAAAAGAATGTATCGAAAAAGAGGTGAAGCAAAAGGGAGACGAGAAAAGACAAGTAAAAGAAAGCGAAGTAGCATATACGTATGGATTTGAAGACTAGAAAAAAAAGAGAGAGGTATAGAGATATTGCATGTGCTGTTCTTTGTATATCATTAGGTTATTTCAATAAATGATATCCATTTTAACAGAAGCCATTCATACTTTTCTATTAATTGTTCCATCCGATTACTATGAAAAAACTGACCCAAATGATCCTTCTTGCTTTAATGAAAGTTTTCCTAAATAAAAATATCATTATAGAAGAGTGAAGGAACAATATCCATTATATGTATACTCTTTAATCTTTGAATGTAGTGTTTAACTTGTAATTTTAATGAATCTTTCTTAGTCATAGTATATCGATTATGAGTTGAGACAAAGGAACAACGATGCACCAGTCGAAGGTCAACATAGAATTTCTGCTATAATAATTGTGGATGTAACATGTGTAGCAGGGAAAAGACAGGAAATACCTATGCAAAATGAGAAAATGTTCATGTGAAAAAACATTGCTTAAGCACCGTTGTGGACATAAAACGATTTGTTCTCAGCCAACTTAGCTTTTTAAAGGATTTCTGAATGATAGTTTCATCGTCCAAATGAATCCTAGGTAAT